TTTCAATGAAACAGTGCCACTTTAAAGTTTAGAGTCTATTTGTTGTTAGGCAAAACAGATTCAAATAAAAGTTTTACCTGTTGCATGATGAGAGTAAGGAAAATAGTTGTCAGCTTCAAGGGCCAAATCAGCACTAAATGAGTCTGCATCTCCTTTGTTTAAAGATTGTTTTGTATCTGTAGCAAAATGTAACAACTGGAGTATTATTTTCAAAGCACATGCAATGTTTTTGTGTATATCTAACTGATTACATGTGGAACTGCATATGGATACAAAGTTAAGAAAAAAAAGGAGCACTTTACTATGAAACAGTAATATCAATGGATAATTACGGAGGAGGAACAATAATTGGCCCATCTATGCAGCTAGATTTTAACAGCCTTGACTCCCAACATCACATCCAGTTACTAAGTTATTCGGGTTTTGCTTATTTTGTTCTGTGAATGTTTATTCCAGATGTTAATCATAAAACATTAAAAGCATTATAATTAGGTTAAGTAATTTGTACAGTGTGTTATTCCATACTTTTTCACCCGAGAGCCTAATACACAGTTTCTCTATTAACCAGATTTTAATTGTAATTATAATTATCTATAGACTTCCTGTACCTATAAGACATTTTTGTTAACAGTTTGTCTGTATGTTTCCAGTCACTGGCTTGTTGCTTCTCAATTAAAGAGTCTTGGAAGAAATTTAGCTGGAAGAATTTTGACTTGGATAAATAATCAAGTTAAGATGTGGAAAAGTTATTCCTTTCATTGGATTCTACTGTATCTCCCCAGTCCAGATCATGAATAGACTTAGAGGTTCAGATGCTGTTTGGAGGATTTGGGCAAATGTTTGGTAAATATCATTTATCCTCTTATTATAATGGAGAACTTGCATTTTGGAAGGCTGTAGACTATAAATCACAAAGCTTTGATATGGCATTGCTGTAAATGTTATTTGCAGGCTTCTGCAAACAGTTTGTTGAGATGCAAAAGATTATGAATTCAGCTAGACCACAGCACTCTCGCAAAAGTCCAAATCCTCCAACTTAAACCTTAATACTTCAGATTAGACATTCACCTCTACCTCTTTCTCTTCTTCTCCCACTTGATTGGTGTGAAGGGTGGAAGGGTGGGGTGAAGGGCAGGGCTATGAAGACTGGACTGCAAGATCACTACTGGGGTGAGGTTTGAGGGAGAAGGCAACAAATGGCTGAGAATTGAGACCATATGCAGTCTGAGGTAATGTTTCCTTCATCAGCCCTCCCCCAGTTCCTCATATATTTTCTGATCTGAGGCCTCATCAAGCTTTTAAAGGAAATAATAATTTACATTTGGAGGCAAGATATGTTAAAGCTACTTTTGGGTTTTCAGATGTCAACTGTGGCTCAGTGGTAGAACTTTTTGCCTCTGAGTCAAAAGGATGTACAGTTCCACTTTAGACACTTCAGCACATAATCCAAGCCAGCATTATAATGCATCTCAGGGGAAAAGCTGCACTTTATTTTGAATAGGATAATAAAGCCCCATTTTCACTCTCTAGTAGACATATGATTAAAAAGGAGCAGGGCGATTTTTCCATTGTCTTAGCAAATATTTAGTCCTCAATCCACATCATTAAAACAGATCATCATTAAAGTATTGTTGGCTATGGAACCTTGCCATGGACAAATTGACTACTGTATATCTTGCTGTACAATAGAACTATACCTCAGAAGTACTTAATTGACAAAAGGTGAAAGGTGCTATATAAATGAACATCTCTTTTTAAAATTTCTTAGAGCTCAACATTTTAATATTAAGCTAATACACCATGATAAGAAATAATGAATTACATCTTGCCTAATTTTCTGATCCTTTGAGGACAACTGAGTTCAAAATTATAAAGGAGTAAATCAGGAATCTGATCAGAATGGATCCCATTCTCATCAAGAATGTTACAATACAATCAATTGATAGCTAAACATTAAAATTCCTCACAAAATAGATTAAAAAATGTGAACATTAGACTCACCACAGCCACAGAGGATACATCTTCACAAGTGAAATATATAAAACATATTTTATGCTCAGTCTGAAAGTAATTAATTTCCAACTATCACAATGCTGCAGGACATTAACTAGTATTAAGATATTTTTGGAATTCATCTAAATCTCCAAATAATTGCTGGAAGATTTAAAGTGTTCCACCCTGAAACAATTGAGTGAAATACTTGACCAGCCATCAATCTATTTTATATTGACAACATTAATACAATTCTCAAATAGAAGTGTCATGCCCTGAAGTGTTTGAATACACATTGCAATGGGTGGAACTTCCATTATTGACAGAGTATATACTTTATGTATTAGTCACATAATTAAGCACAAAGATTAGCATTTGCCCGGCTGTTTCAAATTACTTTTAGATTAAACACAAATATTCTACAATTACGGAATAAATTACCTTGAGCCATTTTTGTACCTCAACATACAGAATCAACAAAATATAAATTTTAAGAAAGCATTTGTATAAACAGATTTAAATTACGTTTATGAGATGATAATATAGATAGCACTTTATTCAGAACTACTCAAGAAGCTTAACAATATCCAGGGCAAAGCAATCCCCTTCCCTCTTGATTGGTGCCAAATTCACAAACAGTCAGTTCTTCCACCATCGATGCCCAGTAGCATCAATGTGTACCAGCTAGAAGATGCAGAAATTCACCAAAGATCCTTAAACAGCACTTCCAAACCATTATCATCTGGAAGGACAAAGACAATAAATACCTGGAAGCACCAGCAGCAGCATGCTCTCCTCCAAATCACTCACCATCCTGACTTGGAAATGTATTACTGCCCTTTCAGTGTCGATGGTTCAAAATCCTGGAACTCCTTCCCTAACAGTACTATTGGGCTCCTACACCAAATAGATTGCCGCAGCTCAAGAAGGCAGCTGACCACCACTATCTTCTCAAGGGCAATTAATGATAGGCAATAAACAGTGGTTCAGCCAACTATGCCACTTTTGCCATTTGGGCAATGTTTGGGAGACGTAATGATGAAAGTGAATCATAAGCTCCCGAGATTCAGTCCCTACCTGGTGAAAAACGGAGAACATTTTAAAAAGCCAAAATATCTTGAGCATTCTTTTACCTTTGAAGAATTTGTTATAGAATGTAGGAGCAAATTACTGCAGATGCTTGATTCTATACCAAAAACAAAAGATGCTGGAGATCACAGTGGGTCAGGCAGTGTCCATGGAGAGAAAGTAACCTAACGTTTCATGTCTAGATGATTGTTCTGGACTCAAAACATTAGCTTGCTGTCATTCCATGGTTGCTACCTGACCTGCTGTGACCTCCAGCATTTTTTGTTGTAGAATGTGTTTGTTGAGCTTGGAATAACTATTAACATCATGAAGTTAGTTAGTAGTGCCAATTAGAAATCAATTTGGAGCCTTATGCTGTTACAGTGGAGAAAAATATATATATATTGGATAGATGGTAGATTCTTAAATTATATTTTATGTTTTTATTTGACTACATTGACCTTTATATATTTGAATTTTACCCTAAATATTCACCTTGGTACCATCATTATCAGCAAGTCCCTGAAGCAGACCTCACATCTTAAAATTTGTTTTATTCATTCATTTGATATGGGCATCGCTAGCTTGGGCAGCATTTATTGCCCAGAAAAAGATGGCGGTGAGCTATTTTCCTGAACTGTTGCAGTCATTGTGTTTAGGGATACCCACAAGTGTTATTTGGAAGGAATTTCAGGATTTTCAACCAAGGATTAAAATGGAATGATGGTATAGTTCAAAGTCAGGGTGGCGCATGGCTTGGAGCATATACATCTTCTGCCCTTGTCCTTCAAGGTGGTAGAGGCTGCGGGTTTGGAGTCTGCTGTCAGAGGAGCCTTAGTGAGTTACTGTAGTGATCGTGTAGAGGGCACACACTGCTATCACTACACATCATGGTTTTTGTATAAGTAATTGGGACTGAACAGGAACTGAACAGAAAACTTGCTCATTGTTAACCTATTAAATTGTACCACAAGTCATTACGATATCCTTTCCTCTTTCATAAGCAGATTGAAGATTCAGTATCAAACCAAGACTCAGTTTATAAGTCCACAGTATGTAATATAAGATGACTAACATCACTGCACTTAAACTCTAAGGATAACACATCACACAGTCAAAGGTCGCAGCTTTGTGCCGGAAATGAGATCATTTGCCTGTTAACAAACAAAACTTCCAAACATGCCAAAAGTTTATTAGGTGAGGATTGACATACATTAAAAGACATATTGTTACCTAAATGTGTATAATGTCACTAATTACCATGTTGCAATGTTGCAACATGTTGCAATAGCATTTAACTTTAGGCTAAAATTTGCTGAAAAAATGCAACATATCAAGCTCCAGCATGTATAGAAACTGTAGAAGGACAAACTCCATCAAACTTCAGAGAACAGTGACAACTCCTTTTTAACACAACTGTATGAAGAGAATACCTTTGGG